AATAATAATAATAATAATAATAATAATAATAATAATAATAATAATAATAATAATAATAATAATAATAATAATAAATATTATTACCTGACAAAGTCCACAATAACTTTAGTTAATTAATAAAATAAAATAAAATAAAATAAATTAATCAATAATATGTTTTAACAAATATAAATTTAAACAAACGTAACAATTATAAATCTACTTACATGCACTTCGTCATATCGATGTCATACCGTGTAGTACGACGGCTACCGTCTTCTCTCGCTTCAGCTTCTATGGTTATAGCTAATGCAGGACAGATTGCCTCACACAACTTACATGCAATACACCTAAAAGAAAAATAAATTCTTGATTTTTTAGCATAAAAGGATGAAAAAAAAATTAATAACTTTTTTTTTTTTTTTAAGTTCAATGGTAAATTTCATACCTTTCCTCGCCTATAAGTTACCAAAATTATAAAAAAATTTATTGGGTTAATGTCTAATAAATTTTAAATAAGAATAATAAGAATAAGAATCTTGGGATAAAAGTTTACCTGTAGGATATCTTCTTAATGCATGTTCACCTCTAAATCTAGGACTCACGGGACCTTTCTCGTAAGGATAAAAAATTGTATAAGGAGGTCTAAAAAAATTTTCGAGAACTATCCACATTCCCCTTAATATTTCAGTTAAAAAGAACAACCGTGCAGTTTTATCAAGTGTAGTTGGAACTTTTAAGTCTGAATTTTTATCAACTGTTCGAATTTCATGAGTTGGATCTGATGAAGAACCAGCATTGTTATATTTCGAAACAGAAAATTTACGAGTGATTGGGAAAGATCTAGGTATTGATACTATAATTTAGCAAAAAAACGTGTTATTAAAAATTCGCAATAAACTTAATAAGAATAATAATTATTATAATGATGCTTCAAAATTATATAAATAAATTTTATTTTGATCAGAAGGAATAATGAGAATAAATTAAAAAAAAAAAAAAATTACCAGGGGTAATAGAAGCTTTACGAACAACACTTTTAGCGATGTGATTAAATCTAAACATTAGGGTACTATTTGTTTCATCTTGTGTACCCATCAAATTTGATTTATATGAGAATTATGTGGGTTAATCACGTGATTATATAATAATAATAATTTTATGATAACAGATAATGATAAATATTTTTATTATATAATAATAATAATAATATATTATTCTTCATGATTTGAGAGGTAATCTTCCATCAAAATCTTTTTACCCATCCAAATATTATGAGAATTATGTGGGACAATCACGTGACGATATAATAATAATAATAATAATTTTATGATAACAGATGATAAATATTTTTATATAATAATAATAATAATAATAATATATTATTCTTCATGATTTGATTGAGCTTTGAGAGGTAATCTTCCATCAAAATCTTTTCTATGTAATTCTTTATACTCCTTATCTTTCTTTTTACCCATCCAATATTGAAAAAGGAAAGATCTTGAATCACCTAATTTTTGAATATACCTTTCCTGTTCTTTTTTTAATGTTATTTCGTCAGTATGTTTATATTGTAAATATGGTGTTGGAGAATTATTACGAACATGATGTTTATCATCATGATGACGACGTCCAATGAAACCACCTCTACCACGATAAGGTTGTCCACGAGTTCTAACAGGTATTTGAGGTATTTGTTGAGATGAAGAAGGGAAGGCATCATTTCCTTCCAAGAAATCTTGTTTTTCTCTATATGACATTGATGAATAATGATCAAGTTGTTGCCATGCAATATTCATTTCTTTATTTTCATTTTTCACAATTGTCATTGGATCACTAATCGATGATGACATTAATTCTGATTGATTTGATGATTGAGAAGGTTTATTCTCGGTACCATCAGGTTTTATTCGTCCAACAAAAAATTCGTAAATCTATTTTCGATAAAAGAAAAGTTGAAATTCAATAATAATAATCAAAAAACAAAGAATTAAAGGAATATTAAATATTTATACTTACATTAGCGTGTTTAGGAGAAATGGAACGAAACGAATCAGCTATTATGGGAATCTGTTTCAAAAGTGTCACAGCATTTTTTTGACTTTCATAATGATAATTATAATAATAATATTATTATTATTAATATAAAGATTTTAGAATAATAATAAAAAAAACAATGACGAAAAGATAATTCAATTTTATTACTTTTGAAATGTATCGGAACCTTTTCCCATTGCAAAAAGTCGATCCAATATCTGTAAACGATAAAATTTTTAAGAAAAACAATTACATAAAAAAAAAAAAAAATACCAAATTCATTAAAATTTACTTACATTTTTTGCAATTTTTAGATAATCTTCAGGTGGTTTTTCTATTAATAAAGTTTTTAATTGAGAAATTATATCATATATTGGTGTCTATTATTTTAAAATAAAAAATAATTATAGATTAAAATAAATAAATAAATCAAAAAAAAAAAAATATCGAATATAATTTTAAAAAATAAAAACATACTCCTACAGGCAAACTGCTCTGTAATTTTATTATAGAATTATTTATCCATCGCGTCTCTACATCCAAACTTTGAGTTGTTAGAATGTCAATAGTTGATAATCCTGGTATTTTGATTAGTTTAGTTTCAAAATTTCCATGATTAATATTATTAATATTCGTGATATTTGGTTTAACAATATAATTCTCAAAAATCTATTAAAATAAATAAATAAATAAATAAATAAAATAAACCAATAAATCTTAATTTATATGAAAATTTATAATAAATAAATATATAAAAATATAATATGATATTTAATTACCGAAAGATAAGTTGATAAATCTTCGTTATGTGAAGTAATAAAATCATTAGGAACTTCATAATTAATGGCATCAAGAATATGCAAATTTTGTCCATGATTAATGTGCTGACAGAGAACATATAATGCACCTAATTATGAAAATTATTTAAAATAATTAATTTCTACAGAATGTAATTATAAAAAAATAAAAATAATAATAATAAATACCTTCTCGAAAACATAATATCTGTGAAAAGGGTGTTTTTCCCTGAACAGTGTTTTCATAGTGAATATTTGTGCTAGTGACAGAAGAAGTTGGATCACAAAGAGCATATATTGCACCTTTATACATTATGCATAAATGAATAAGCTATGAAATGAAAATTTCTTGAAGATGCGAAAAATTCTCACCTTTTACTAAACTCGTTATTAATACGCGAGTTGGTGCAGATATCTTTATTGAAAATACAGAAAAAATTTATTAATATTTGAATCTCTTGTAACAAATTAAATTCTTTACTTACATCAATTGGTGTGACCAAATGAGTACATCGAGTAACAGTCTCATCTATTTTGATAGATAAATTTGATGAATATTGACCAAATAAAAAATATAAAAGAGAATATGAAATATAAAAGATAATATAAAAATAGATAAAAGAGAATATAAAAATATATAAAAATAAAAATATATATTTACCTAATCCATAAAGCTTTGCTTTAACCCATTTTACTACAGTTTGTCGTTCTTTCAAATGATCTGGTTCAAATATGCGGGATCTTTTTGATTTTATAGGATTGCTATGAGGCAGATGATTATCTGCTGGATATAACAATTCGATTTCGAATGTAGTCTTTGTATTATCACTTCTCTTTGATGGAAACGAAATAAAATCATAAATATATATATATGTATATATATTAAAACAAAAAAAAAACAAAAAAGAAAAAGAAAAAGAAAAAGGAAATTATAAAAACCTTCATAGGAACTTCCAATAATTTTAAAGTATTCAATTGACGATGTAATTGAACCAAATGTAACATGGAACGAGTGAGACATTTTCGTTGAGGAAGGACATTATAAACGGTCGCCGAGAATGTTGTCCATATATTTGAAATAGGTAACTATTTATAATTGAAATTTTCAATAAAAAAAAAAAATAAATAAATATAAAATAAATATAAAATAAATATAAAATAAATATAAAATAAATAAAATAAATATAAAATAAATTAAAATATCAATTTATATAAGCAATTAATTATTATTTACCTTGGTATATGGAACATCTTGAGGTATTGATTCGCAAGATGGAAAAACACGTAAAATATCAAAATGACATTTCAATAATTTACTAATTTCAACAAAATTAATATTTTAACAAGACTAAATATTTGAATATTTTGTTAAATTTGACATTCTGAAAACATACGAAAAATTATTTTTTGTCCAAAAATCACGATGTGAGATAATGTCACGCAACATATTACGAATATCGCTTTGTTTTTGATCTTCTGTTTCTCGATAACTTTAAATGTAATGGAATTATTTTTGAATTAATTACTCGAAATACTAGAAAAAATAGTGAAAGATTTTTATCCTATATACCTAAACTGTTTTTCACCACCTTTTGCCATTAAAATTAATACTATTCTCACATTGAATGATACTTCTGCTTCATACAAGTCTAAAGATTTTAAAGAATTTTCCAATGCATGTTGCATTCTCATAGGTGAAGGTGAAACAGAGTGCGGTGAAATGAAGGTAAATTTTTCGGCAATCTTTAAATAATCATTAGATAAAGATTAGAAAACAATTTTATTATAAATTATAATAATAAATAAATAAATAATAAAAATATTTGAACCTGTTTCAAATTTTGTTCATTCCAATTGTTAAGTATGCTACGTTCTAAAGGAACACCAGCAACATGAACGGATATCTGTCTGACAAAAATTCATTGTAAAAAAATTTAATAATAAATAATCATAATTATAAAGATATTTTTTAAAATTCTTACCGGTGGTGCTTTACTACCAGCATCGAAAAGGTCAAACACAACGCGACAATATTCCAGCGTAGCTTCCACAAAACAAGACCATAAAGGACATGGTGGAACAATTGCTATATTATTTTATGATTTGAGCCGAGCAATGTAAAAAAAAAAAAAAAAAAAGGGAATTTCATTTCTTTATCATTAACATATAAAATTAGATCATGGATTTAAAGTGAAACTTACTGGAATCCGTGGGTTCCGGAACACAAGAAACTTGTGTATTTGGATGACAGTCAAGAAGAATTATAGTACACTCCATTGTTAAATAAAATAAAAGAAAGAAGGAAAGAGAGAAAGAAAGATTTATAGGTACAGATAGAGAATAGTTTTAAATTTGGGTCTATGTATTAGTAATACCATTTTATATATCTTTTTAATTTTGGAATTATTTTCTTCATGAAAAAACAAGTAACGAAAATATCAGTTTTATTCATTTTGTATATTATTAATAATTTGGTAAACAACAAAGGAAGTTCAATATAAATGTAAATTCTTAAAAGAAACAAGTTATTTTAATGTTAAATAATATTGTCACTACACTATTTAAATCATAAACCATTAAATTATTACATTTTTACATTTTTATAGAAATATCAAAAAAAGTAAAGAATTTCTCAAAACAAAAAATGATATAAAATGATATGTTAAACTAAATGTAATTAATTAATTAAAGATCATTTTATTACTTTCTTCAATTTCTTCCTGGATTATGAAAAACAAATTCCTCTATTTTATTCATGAATTAAGTATAATTACTATTTTTGTACTTTTTTTATGATAATTCTATAATTCTTTACCTAACCATTATTCTAACTATCCTAGATAATGACGAACATATTAATAGGTGCTATCCGAGTTCCAGGTAAAAAATATTTATGACTTAGCCTAAAAAGGTGATGCCCTAATATCTGCACTTCTTGAAAATGACAAACCAAAGATTAACTAAACATTGAAAATTGATGGTTATTATAGTATTGTTGTTATTATTCTAAAATTTATCAGTAGATCTGTAACCAATAAAAATGAAATTTGACTAAATGCTTTTTTTTTCTTTGCAGAAAAAAATTTCAAAATAATGACTGACACACCTAAAATTCGACAACTACGTTCCTATTTAAATTTAAGATCTCGTATAACAGTTTCAGACAGTCGGTTATTTTTCGGTACCTTTATGTGTATAGATAAATACAAAAATATAATTCTAGCTCAAACTGAAGAATATCGTGAAGGTTTGTATGAAATTTAAAGGTTTGGATTTCTTTATTCATACTATTAATATTATTAATACTAAATTAAATTTTATTTTATTTAACAGCTGAGAAGAGATTTGTTGGATTAATTATGATACCAGGGAAGCATATTGTTAAAATTGAAATTGAAGATTTGGAACTTTCTACGGATTATACATGATATACCATTTAATTGTTATACAATTGAGAATTTTATTTTATTTGAATGCAAGTTGATAAATATTTAAATTATTTAAGTTATTTTAAATTAATGAATTATTGAAATTATTTAAATTATTTAAATTATTATTTGAAATTATTGAATTATTTTGAATTTATTTTAATTTAATTATCGGAAATCCTCAAAACGACAGCAAGTTATTTAAGATCTATGAAAAAAAAAAAAAAAAAAAGTAAATAGGTTAATAGAGCATATATCATATATAATAAATATTTTTATATACCTTTAAATTGAACATTCCTTGTAGCAGAAGGTATGGTGACCGTTATATCATCTAAATCTTTTCTCATAACAATTTGACATCCTAAGCGAGAACTATTTAAATTATTAATTAAAGAAAAAATTATTTCTGGAAAAATTTTTAAATAAAAAAAAATATTTTTTTTTAATAAAATGAAACAATGCTCTCACGTTTCAGTTAATCCAAATGCTAAATCTAACATATCATTCTCTTCATCTGATGGTTCTTCTAATTTTTTATAATATTTAGGTTCAACTATTACATGACAAGTAGAACATGCAAGTGACCCTTCGCATGCACCTAATTGAAAAAAAAAATGATAATTCAAATTATATATATATATATATATGTGCATATTACAGGTTCTTTTTTTTATGATTATTAACTATAATACAAACATTCAAGGTCAATATTATGAGCCTGTGTTATATCCATAATACTATCTCCTTCATTTGCCATTATTGATATTTTATCTCCTTCTCGAGTAATAAAGTTGATTTTTACACTATAATTTATAATTAATATTTCAAATAAATTAATATTTCAATAAATCTCAAATAAATAAATATCTAAAAAATAAATAAATAAATAAATAAATAAATTTACCCTACCCCTCCCCTTCTTTTGGCGGTTCAACTTCTTTATGTTCATTTACTATTTAATTAATTAATTTTTTTTTTTTTTTAAAAAAAAAAATAATAATTAAATGTTTTAGAATTCACCTTCGTAACAATTCAATGTGAACAAAATTGATTACCTTTAGATTGAGAAAATTTTCTTGCTTGATTCACTGAATATTGTCCATTGTCTTTATTAATAAATAGATCCCTTGGTGAAATGTGATAAAATCTTATATTTCGTATAGGCACGTTTTCTATTTGTCGATGAAAGTTATAAAAAGTGTTAAGTTGTCTAAAACGTTGGTTTATTATAAATCGTCTCATAGATAATAGTGGCTTGTTTTTTTTCTTTTTTTAATCATTTTTTTTTTTAGATCTAGATAAATTTTCATCAGTCTAACCCTATCTCAACTACACAACTATACCCCCGACCTTACCAGTACGTCAAGTGATATATGTATCAGATGAGGAGGAGGAAATGACACAAGGTGACACGTTAGAATCTTGGGGTGCTCTTTGTCTAGTAGTTATTTACCGCCCCAATGTATCTGTCATGTGAAACGATGATAAAAATTAGTATTGAATGAAAAAATGTTTAACTATTTCGCGACGACTTTTTTTTTAAAAAATATTCCTCTTTATAAACTTTAAAAAATTCACCTGTAAAAGTATATCAAAATGTCTCAACCTTCTAATATTACAGGTGACATGGATCCTTTCGATGCACGTTTGTACTTTATATCTGTGTTGAAAAAAGTGAATGCTAGTCAACAATCTATTCAGTCGTGCACAACCTTTGCTTTAAGGCATAATAAGTATTACGAAGACTTATATCGTTGTATAATGGAAGTGATGCAAAAAGCGACGATAGCTTCTAGAATGAACCTCTTTTATTTCCTCGATAGTCTCTGTGCGAAATCAAAAAAAGCCGACTTTACTAAATATCTTGAATATATACAACGAGATTTAAAAAAGATTGTCGTTGACCTCGTCTGTGAGAGAGATGAAGGTTGCTTTAACCTAATAAATACATTAAAAGTTTTAAAATCATGGAAAGAAAAGAATTACATTGAAATTTCGGTAATTGAAAATGCAGAAAAATTTTTATTGGAATGGAAAGGGGAGAAAAATTATCCACCTAGATTAAAATTACCGAAAACCGATATAATAAAGAGAATTGAAGAAGATAGAGAAAGGGCAAAACATCATCGTGAAGATATTTGGTGGGTGGATAAAAGTCATGAAGATGGGGAAGCGGTTAGGTTATGGGAGGAATGTTCTGAATTATCGGATAGCGATTACCAGGAAATACTGACTGAAAATTGCAAATATAAGCCAAATCATCCTTGGCTAGATGATTATAACAAAGTTAAGTTATGGAACGAAGAACAAAAAAGACTTGAGGAAGAGGAGGAAAAGGAACGACTGAGACTAAGGAAGCGAAAATTGATCGAAGAGGAAAAGGAGAGGCAAAGGTTAATTGAAGAAGAAAGAGAGAGGCAAAGGTTAATTGAAGAAGAAAGAGAGAGGCAAAGGTTAATCGAAGAAGAAAAGGAGAGGCAAAGGTTAATTGAAGAAGAAAATGAAAGGCAAAGGTTAATTGAAGAAGAAAAGGCGAGACAGAGAAAGATTCGGGAGGAGAAGTCAATTGAAGAAAAACCTAAATATTACGGAGATAATTTTCCGTGTATCACAAATTTTGATCAAACAAGTCAAGAATTTGACGATAGAAATATCAATTATGATCCTAGTTTTATATATTCATTTCCTATATCAAATAATACGAATCAAATAATTTATGAACAACCATCATTCTATAATCAATCAACAGATATTACAACAACCAATAATGATACAGAACCTTCAAGAGAAAATGAAACATCATCATTGTTAGAAGAATATCATGTAGAACAGATAGCGGGTTCAAATCTTGGGCTTTTAATGCAAGCCGTGGGACTTTTAGAAGCTGGGGTGTCGTCATTACCTGATGACTAGTCTGAGCGTAATTTTTTTTATAGGCTTAAAGATTTAAAGAATTTTTTTTTTTTTAAAAAATATTTAAAAGAAATACGCTGACAATTTTTTTTTTTTGATTCTCTTTTATCTATTAAAATATATCAAGGATTTCTGGTTGAGTGGTTGCAAGTGTAAAACTTACGATGTATAAATTTAATGTGAATCTTTTCATTTGCAATTTTTTTTTTTTTTTTTTTTTAATATTTGAATGCAAAAGGTTGTTATTATTAAACTTTTAATTGTTTTAAAGTGAATTTTGAATTAATTTTTTTTTAAAAAAATCCTAAAATATAAAATTATTTGGAAATATTGGATTTTTTGTATTTTTGTATTTCACAAGTCTTAGTGACAAAAAGTTTTTACTTTATCTTTTTAATGTAATAAAGAATATTTTTTCACAACTTTTAATACTTTTCAATAATAATAAAATAGAAAATCAAAAAAATGTTGAAAAATCTAATAATGCAATCTTAAGTGTATAATATACAACAATAATAATATATTTTTCTTTGCTTCATCTTTTTTTTTCAAAATTATTAAACGCGCTAGTGATTAATTATTTTTTTTTACATAGATTCTACAAAGAATTCATTACTTAAGAAGCGATGCAATTATTGTTGAAAATTGTTTAGCATTTTTAAATTTATTAATTTATTTAATTTATTGCGAACGGATGGGTGATTGGTTTTTTTTTTTAAGGTACGCTTGATGTTGGTGCGGGATTCATCTAATTATTTTTTTTTTAAAAAAATATGATATCAATTATTATTGAGATCCATATAAATTTTGTTAACATGAAAATGCAATGATTTAGAAATCATGATAAAAAATACATACCCTTCGCTTGCCACCGAAACTGGTTATGTTAACAAACCGACGATTATAAATAATTCGTTTTTTGGCTCTACCCGTTTTCTTTTTTTTCTTTTCTTGCTTTTCAACTTTTGGAGTTTGAGATTTAACTTTACCTGCTCTAGCAAGCGAACCGTGAACTTTACCCTATTTTGAACCAATTTTATTTAATTTTCTTGTTCGAAAGAATGAACATAACAGTTGAAGCTTTAATAACTTTTATTACCATCTTTGATTTTTTTTTTTCTTATTCACAAAAAAAAAATTTTTTTTGATGAAAATCCTAGATATTAAATTAAAATTTTTTATGTGATATAAATTGGGAAATCACAATCACACAGATTAATTGGTGATCAGCCTAAGTCGGCAATGTTATGTATATAAAATTGGGTTAAATTTATATAAATTTTATTATAGTTTGGAATCTGTAGCTCGTATATAAATTGTTACGATATAACCATATATTATTTAGTAAAATTTTTTAAAAAATAAAAGGATACTTTCTTATTTCATATACGCTGAAAAAATCAATTTTTTAAAATAATATATTTTTAATATAGGATCTACGCATGAACTATATGTTTTAAGCTCGGAGAATTATGACACTCGGAAGAAAAAGAATAAGACGAATCACCACCACTAACGACAACAACTCCCTATACCTTACCAGCAGTTCAATCGGTTAATATTATAGTTTAAATAACTTTTATTATAAAATGATCGATAAATACTGCCGATCTTAACCGAATTACCAATTAACAAAATTCTTGTGTGATATAAATCGGAAAATCACATGGATTTAATGAGAAATCATATATATAAATATAACCAGAAATAATAATACAATAAAATACAAATACAACGAATACAATAAATACAATAAACAAGAAGAATAAAAAATTATAAATATTTTTTGTTTTTATAATAAAAAAAAAATCTTTAGTGCTTAACTATTGTTACTGGGCAACGAACATTTTTAACCAAATAATCACTTGTAGAACTTAACACGATCTATGTGAAAAAATCACGAGATTTTATTTATATAAAAATATATAGTATTGTTAAAATTGTTAAATTTAAAATTTCAAATTTTCGAAAGTCAATTGAAACATTAAAGAAACGTACGGAAAGTACTGAAGAAATTCTTGGGAATGATTCACGGACCTTTTGTAAGCCATCGAGATTTCTTGATCCAACTATTAGTAAATTTAAATCCGGTTGTTGATTTTCAATGTAATCTTTTAAAATCTTTCCAACCAAACCGTGATCTTGATGTTCAATAAATTTGTATCTCACATCTGGCTGTTTATTATCATTATTATTTTTTTTTTATCATTAAATAATAATAATTCCAAAAATATTTCAAATACAAATTTTTAATTAATAAAATAAAAAAAAAATAAAATAAAAATAATAAAAAGAAAAAGACACTTACAAAAATACTTTCGTTTTTTTTTAAACATTCTTTTATTTTAGAAGCTGATTCTTTTGCTTCTATAAGAATATCAAGATTACTGGCTCTATCTAAATTATGCCTATAATTTAATTAAAAATTCAATTAATTAAAATTAAATTCAATCAATTAAAATTAATTTCGATCAATTAAAAATTAAATTCGATCAATTAAAATTAATTAAAAATACGGATCAACTGTAAAATCTATCAATTATAATAAGGAAACTTACAAGAAAGGAACATTAGCTTCAGGATTTAAAGCTACGATATAAATAAATGATAATGTATATGAAGCTTTTAATTTTGAACAGAGATCAAATGCATATTGAATTGCTTTGAATGAGATATCCGTTTCTTCAGTCGCTACTAAAACTTTGAATTCTCTAAGATCATAGAAATTTTAAATTAAAAATTAAAATTAATTAATTAATAAATTCCATTTTTAATCCCACTTGAAAAAATTATTTTGATTTATTATTAAAATAAATTTACCCTTCCATCTTATTTAAAAAAAAACGGGGGAAAAATTAACATTATTGTATTACAATGAATTTTGCAATATATTTACGCAATAGGTTTATATATATATTCACATGACTGTAATTCAACTCTGTACCTGTAACGTGTCAACTCTCGAGACAAGCACGCAATAAAGTTCAAAAGACTTCTCTAATCAATCATTTATCCTCATTAAAGTCATCTCCTTTTAACCATAATACATACTTGTCAAGATGATGCTATATAAATTAGTAGTTCTTGGGGATGGTGGCGTTGGAAAGGTATAAAGAACTTGATGTGTAATTTATTGTACCTCTGTGAACAATCTTTTTATAATTCTAAGGTCACTGACTCCTTTTCTTTTGTACTTTAGACTGCTCTGACAATTCAGGTTTTAGAATATTTTGGTATTTTTTATTTTTTTTTATTTTACTTTCAAATATTAATTTTTACAATTTCATGTTTATTGTAGTTGTGCTTGAACCACTTTGTTGGTAGGTATAATAAATAGATACAGAATTTTTTTTTTACTGATTATTATTTTCTTGAAAATTAATATTAACATTTATTATATTTAATTTTTTGAATTTATTGAATAATATAATTTGATAGAGGTGCGTGTGATAATTATCAAAAAAAAAAAATTATTAAATAATAATAAAAATAACAATTAAATTTAATGAAATTTGATTAAAAATAATAAAATTTAATATTTATTTTTAAAATGGAATATTTATAGACGTATGATCCAACGATTGAAGATTCATATCGAAAGCAAGTAGTAATTGATGATCAACCTTGTGTGCTGGAAGTTTTGGATACAGCCGGACAAGGTATTTTACAAGTACTTGCAGAAAACTTAATAATTATTTTATAATACTATCTCAATGTATCACTCTTTAAATCGGTAACTTTGCTATTTCCGAGCATTTACCAATATTAAAATATAAGATTAAAGTTCGCAAGTCCATAATTGTGTTGTTTTCTAGTTTCCTATTTTTTTTTTTTGTACATATATTTATTAGTTAATTATATTATATAAATTTGTTAGAGGAATACACGGCACTTCGTGATCAATGGATTAGGTAAAATTTTTATTTAATTGAATCTTAAATCTAGAAAACTATTATAGCATTACCTATCGGGCAAGTGACATCATATGACCTCGATGACTAGTCATCATCTAACCAAAATTTAGTCCAGATTCCGTTATTGACATTTAATATACGAAATTTAATATGAAATTTAGTGTGAAATTTTATATGAAATTTAATATGAAATTTAATATAATATAGGGATGGAGAAGGTTTTCTCCTTGTCTATTCTATATCTTCACGATCAACTTTCGAACGAGTAGAACGATTTCGCGATCAAATCACACGTGTTAAGGACACTGAATCTGTTCCATTAATGCTTGTTGGTAACAAATGTGATAAAATTACCGAACGCGAAGTCTCTCGAGAAGAAGGCATGAATATGGCAAGGAAACTTAAATGTGAATTTATTGAAAGTTCTGCGAAAACATGCGTAAATGTGGAACGAGCATTTTACACAGTGGTTAGAATGATACGGTCGAATAGAGAAGGTGGACGAGATATTAAAAAGCCGAGAAAAAGACCAAAATGTTTAATACTGTAATTATATACGATATATTTTATTTTATTATATTCAGAAATTACATTGATCTCAGAAAAAAAAAAAAAAGAAAAAAAGATAACGCACTATAAGAAAGTTGGATGCGAGGAAAGGCGCTAAAGCGTCTTTGTTTCATTGAGTAGAAGGGGGGTTTTTTTTTTACCTAATTTTAATTAATTTATCAATAATTAAGAAAATTAAGTTCTTTCTTTTCGATGTTTTTATTTATTATAGCTTCAACCGCAGTTACAGAAAAAAATTTTTTGAGTGTCTTTTTCAATCATTTTTCAAATTTCTATTATACCATATTTAACTTCCCCGAACTTAAAAATTTCACATACAAATATTTCTTGGTAAAATAATTGGAGGAAAATTTTTAACAAAAAAAAAAACAAAAAACAAATGTAATTATTATATCACAATTGAAACAGTTATGAATTAATTGAATACAGGAGGACAGAATACAAATACAATATATATATATATATATATATATTAAATACTTCACATATTTAAAAATAACTAACATTTAATAACCATTTTAAAGATTTAATCAATTATTAATTATATTAATTATCAATTACTAATTTATAGTTTGAAATTAATTAAAGAATTTTTGATTTATATGTTCATTATGTTCAATAGCACTACTGTTTTTAAGATTATAATAAAAATTATTTTTTTACATTATTTTTAACCGATACAATTATTATTATTACAAACATATAAGAACATATGAGTTGAAGAATTTTATTCAAAAGGATTTACATTATTTAGCAATCCAAAATTCTAACATATCTATATTAATATTACTGGACTTTTTATTCGCATTTATTAAATCATAACCATTAAGAAGTAAAAATGTAGAAATTGCCAAATGTCCAGCTCTCTTATTCCCATCTAAAAATGGATGATTCTTAATAATACTCTCTCCGAAACCAGCTGCCATTCTATATAATGTCGCTTTTTCATGAAAAAATATGAACTTCGGATAATCCATTGTCCCTAACAAACTGTCGGTGATCATTAATAAATTATGACCTTCATCCACTTTGGTTCATTAATAGGATCATTAGAATTATTTGTTGAATAATTTATTTGTCTCAAAGATCACAATTTTTACGAAGAACAATTTTGCGCTTCTTTTTGCAGATCTTTCGGGGGGTGTACAGGCTATCATAAACATAAAAATATAAATATATACAAAGCATTCGAGAATTAAAAAAGAAGTTAATAATTAAGATAATATTTAAGCATCAAATACTTATTACCTATAATTTCGCTCCACTTTTTTCCTGAAAATTGACAAACTTCGTGAGGCTATTAATAGTTGGAACGTCCCGATAAACCTGACACGCCGTATATATATATATATATAAATGAAAGATATAGTTTTATATTCTAAAGAAAAAGAAATTAGGTAAATAAATGCTTACGTTTGGAGAAAACATTCCATCGTGATAGTAAAGTAATTGAAAGACCCATTGAAGAAGGCGGTATCACATTGATTTTTATTTTATTTATTTTATCTTTATTTATTATTTCATTTATTTTATTTTATCTATTTTTAGTTAAAGAAGAAACAACAAAAATACAGATAAATAAGATTAATATAAGATTAATTCAATTATCTTTATTAATTTAATTAATTAAATTATATTAAAATAGAATACACACAAAATAGAATACATATAAAAGTTCAAATACTTAAGATAAAGAATAAATTGGTTATCAAAATGTTAGTTTAAAATGTTATCATTATGTTTGACTAATAAATTAAACTGCATGAATTACTGTTGCATATAAAAAAAAGTATTTTTTTTTTCTCGATACAAATCTGATCACTAATTGTAGATATTTAAGATATATTCAAAGATATTGTTACATAAACTGTGACACTATTATATATTATTACTATTGTGCCTTGTTGGTATCACCACTTACGGTGCTACAAAATTCCTACACAATTGACTCGTCATTATAAATTCATCACAAAAATTCAAAGCTCATGTTTTTTTTAGCTCAGGCTAAAGTTTTGAACGTTCTCGAAGCCTTATAGCATTCTTATATTTAAATTTAAAGATGAGTAAAGACGATGAATATGATTATCTTTTCAAAGGTACATTTTATCTCTAATTATTGTGTGTAAATGTTGTAATGTTTAATTTTTTTTTGTATTGTTCCTAAATAATAATATTCTGTCATCCGTGTAAAAATTCAATTCTATTAGTTCATATTTTTAACCAGTTATATTTGTAAAGTGTTTTATTTCGAATAATTTTCCACAGTTGTGATGAGCGCGTTCACAACTATCAACTTTTTATGTATACAGATGAAGAATAATCTTTTAAACTGCTTTTTTTTTTTTTTTTTGTCTTATATTAGTTGTTTTAATTGGAGATTCTGGGGTTGGTAAATCCAATCTTCTTTCACGTTTTACGCGTAATGAATTTAATTTGGAATCTAAATCGACCATTGGTGTCGAGTTCGCTACCAGAAGTATTCAAGTAGATGGTAAAACCATCAAGGCACAAATTTGGGATACTGGTAAATTTTATGAATATTCATATAAAAATTTTTCTCTTCTATCACGCATACACCCATTATAACATAAATATATAATCTTTTGTTTTTTATTTTTTTTATTAAAAGCCGGTCAAGAACGTTATAGAGCCATAACAAGCGCGTAAGTAATCCAAAAAAAAAATTATCCTTAATAAATTCGAATGAATGAATTTGAATAGATTTAAATAAATTCAAAATATTTATATATCTGATATAATTGAATTCTTTCATTTTAGTTATTATCGTGGTGCAGTTGGTGCATTACTTGTCTATGATATTGCTAAGCATTTGACTTACGAAAATGTCAATCGTTGGTTGAAAGAATTGAGAGATCATGCAGATAGCAATATTGTAATTATGTTAGTAGGAAATAAGAGTGATTTAAGACATTTGCGAGCAGTACCCACTGAAGAAGCTAAACAATTTGCTGGTATTTATTCTTTCTTTTATATTTATATATTTTTTTTGGAAATGTAAATTTGAATTTTATTTTCCTTGATTTTCTTACAGCGGAAAATAATTTATCCTTCATTGAAACTTCCGCATTGGATGCAAGCAATGTAGAGCTTGCTTTTCAGAATATCTTAACCGGTGAATATTTAATTTTTAAGTTAATAATAATATTATTATTATTGTTATTTTTTCTTTAACCTTACTAATAATAATTATAATTTTTTTAAATAATTTTGAACCATCATTATCATCATCAGAAATATACCGCATTGTTTCCAATAAAGCTTTGGAAAACACTGGCGGAGATGTCGCCAGGCCGACTGCCGGAGAAACTATTCAAGTATCTTTATCACCTGATGAGAGTAATAAATCTGCCGGAAGGTGTTGCTGATCAGGATTCTTTTTTTTAATGGTTTCTTCAATTTTGTATATGTTCAGTCGTGTTTATTATTGGTTAAATTTTTTCTACCTCCACCTTTTCTTTGTGGGATAAAATAACTGGGCAAATAGAAAGTTTCTATTATGTAATTTATAAGGATATTTATGATTTAAATTTACGTTCCAAAAAATAATTAGTGTTTAAATAAAATTTGTAAGGATTAATTTTTAATTTTTATCAATCATAATAAATTTTTTTTTTTATATAAAATCTAACTTTTGAAATATTTATTTATTTAAATATTTTAAACATTTGAAATACAAATACAAATACAATCTTTTTGTTTAAATATATATTATAAAGAAATATAACTTTCCCAATTTTAACGCGATTCGCGTGATTATCAATCTAAAATATTAAAAAATAAACTTAAAATAGAGTTAGTAATACATGACTGTCCTGCAATATTTATCTATTCTAATATCCTTTTTATTCACAATGTGAAAAAGAATAAAAGTTAATATTTGTCTTGAATTATGAAATCAAAAGTTAAGAAAAACGGAAAGACAACAATTACAATAAAAAAAATTTTGTAAAAATACACGCGAATAATAATCTTTTATTTTTATTAAACAGCGAATAATCAAATTAAAATTATGACCCATTACAAAGAATATTTTAAATCTTGTGGCTTTTATTAATTATTATTATCATTACAATAAATACTTAATTTAAAAATAACTACCACATATAAACAAAGAAAATAAATGTAAAATCCCTTTTCCGCATGTAATTTTTAAAATACTTACTTGATAATTTAAGTTTACTTTTTGTCTTGCTTTTTTTTTTTGAAAATAATCCCAGGAATCTTTCTGATGGTTTCGATCCCATTGTCATAACAATATCCAAGATTTAATTTAATTCATCACTGCTTCTTCCTTCAGCTGATTTCAGGTATCACTAGAATGCTTTCCCTTCATCTTTGGTGAAACTACGAACACTTTGGCACTGGTAAATGAAGGTTTCCAATCCCATTGTCATAACAATATCCAAGATTTAATTGTTCATTACTGCTTCCTACTTCAGTTGATTTCAGGTGCCACTGGAATATTTTTCTTATAATCTCGGGTCCTTCTTATGGTTCCAATCCCATTGTCATAACAATATCCAAGATTTAATTGTCCATTGCCGCTTCCTCTTTCAGCTGATTTCAGGTACCACTAGAATGTTTTCTCTTCATTTTTGGTGAAACTACGAACACTTTGGTACTGGTAAATGAA